CACTCTCACCGTTAGTTCAGGTAATACTAGATTCATTTTCTTTTTTCTCAAAAGGAAAAGAAAACAACCTGAAAACACAGAAACCAGCACACTGATAAAACACAGGTCTCTTACCCTAGTTTATCCTAGGTACAGACTGACTTCATTTATCCATCACTTACTAGCCACTATTTTCAGGCACTGGACTTGGCTGGCACTTGAACATTTCCTCAGCTCATGCTGAGGTGAATCTAATCAATATCCCTGCCAGGTTTAGTAGGATGTCGGGGAACATCATGAAACCTGCTCCCCCAGATGTTTGGAAAAGAGGGTCAAGTCCTTCTCAGACCCAGTCTTCTCCTTGGAGAAAGATGGACTCTACTGATTTGGCTCCCTGTCCCTGTACCCCACTTAGGTTCATGGAGGCTTAAGAATGCATTCTAATTTCTCTACCCCAAACTCCTAAAAAACTGCTGGGGGGAGAGGACATTGAGTGGTGTTACTGAAAGACCTATAAGTAAAGGACATTCTCGGATCAGTGACATTTCACCTACCACTAAAAGACTCAAAAATATATCCTTTGTTTGGAAGAGACTTGTCTAAATCTTTGTGCTTCCTCCACAACAGGAGATTGGTTAAATGGATTATGGCATCCCTGTACAATGAAATGCTATGTATGATGCTATAGAATAAATTTGACAGAAAAATGCAGCAGTATATCATTAAGTGAAAAAGTAGATTACGAAATGGGATAAAGAATCAGGTTTTAATTAATTAGGACTAACATTTATTGAAGTTTGAATGAGCATGTATGCAAGCAAAGCACAAAAAAGTGTTTTATATGAATTATTTTTTTTGAATTATTTTATATAAGTGAAAAATCTTACAATATGCATAGTATTTGTTTTTCATAGAAACTGAGGCACTAAGGTTAAGTCATTTACCATAGTCTACTTAAGTGGCAGAGCTGAGGTTCAGACATGTTAGGTTCAAGAGCCCAAACTCTTTAACAGTGATACCATATATATGGCTATGTCTGTAAAGAAAAAAAAAAGTCAAGAAAGATGGACACCAAGATAACAGTTAACAGTGTTTATTTCTGTGTGGTGAGATTATGAGTGACTTTTATTCCCTTTATAATTTCCTCTGAAAGTTGCATGATTTATCTGGATATTTTCACGACCAGGAAAAAGAAGAAATCAATTTCCATTTTGAAAAAAAAAAAAACCAATAAGCCATTGTTCCTAATGGATAGATAGCAAACTGCTGGGAGTGGGGAAGTATCTTAATGATTACAAGTACTCTAGAAATTGCCACCTGGTTGTCTAGAATGAATAAATAATATTTTCTGAATGTATGCAAATATGGTCATGATATATACACACAATAGCTTTGATTTATCATATATTCCTCAATTGAGATTAAGAATACAATTATTATATGGAGGTCCTTGACATTTTAAACATTAAAATACTAAAGCAAGGGCTAGAATCTGGTGCTAAACCGAGTGATTCATATTTAGATCAACTTTCTGTAGCTTGAGTACTTCTCAACAACTTACCTCCATTTTCTGGGGAGAGAGCAGGAGGAAATAGAGGGGAAAAACTGATAATTCACACATTATTAAAAGTTAACCAAGGAGGCTTGCTTCCTGGAGATGACAATTTACAAAGATGAGAGAGTGTGGAGAGGGAGTTGGTGCAGGCCCACAACATTCTCTCCCGGAAAGACAGAGTGCTAAGTTTCCCAGTATTGCCAGGGATAAGGCCCCGCCCTCAACTACAGGGATGTCAACACATCAGCAGGGCAGTGGAGCTGCAATGTCTGAGTGCTAATGCTTGCTCTAGGGCCTGGCTGATTTCTAATCAGCAAGCACTTGGGGGTAAGAGAGGCAAAGTATGAGGAGCTTTCTTTTTTGCCAAACTGTCTCAAAGGTCAACACCTGCTTCCTTTTTCTCGTTCTTTCTTCTCCCCTTTTGTAATGAGCCCTTTGACCTCTATTACTGTACAGCCTATTGTCCCCTGAAGTCTCAGGACAAACTCTCTCATAGGACTCCAGTAATCTCATTACATGTAAGAAACCATCTGATCACAGCCCTCAAAACTAAAATACTCATTGATTATTCACTCAACATGGAGGGCCTAGGATTTTCTAGGTAATAAGAACAGTTACAGTGACAAATAAGATATGGTCCCAATTAATTTAGATTCATACAATCTTCAGGTGTGAAAAGCAAAAAACAACACACAAATACACACACAGCCTGATTTGCCTTAATGGGCATAAAGTTACAAGGTAAGTGACCGGAATCAGAGATGAATGAGGGTTTTGTCCTTCTTATTTACTTTGGCCTATAATCGGAACTCAGCTAGGGATCAGGCTCCATAACCCACCCCTGATCATGGATCTGGTGCTGAGGCCTAGAAGACTGATCTACTCCAAAGAAAAACAGTCTTCAATAAGGCAAAGTCATGAAGAAAAAAAGGATATTAGGAAAGGAAATCATTCTATAATAAAAGCAAATTAAGATCTTGCCAAAGGGATCAGACCCAAATCCTACCCAGTCTTTGAATCCAGTTGCCAATCTGCAGGAAATATAGAAGGACATGTGGATCCATACTGGGAAATTCCTAAAGGTCAAATGTTGTGGGTTCTTCAACAGCTAACTCTGAAGGTAAGGAACAGATGGAGGGGGGAACCTGAACATTAAAACAGACTTGAACTCTTCAAAGGTGCCAAGATGAAGAAAGACAAGGAATTGTCACAGATTGGAAGACACTAAGAAGATATGATGGTTAAATGCAATGTTGAATCCCAATGGGGTTCTGGAACATAAAATGGACATGTGTGAAAAAACTGGTGCAATTCAAATAAAATCTGGGGAGTTTAGTTAATAAAAATGCACTCATATTGATTTCTTAGTTGCAAAAAACACAACATAGTCACATAATGTGTTAGGATAAAGGGGAAGCTGGTGAAAGGTACAGAGAATTCTCTATATTACCTTTGCAACCATCCTCATCAATCTAAAATTATTCCAAAATTAAAAAGAATATTTAAAGGACGGGTAAATTTTTTAAATGGGCAAGAACAAACCATAGTCATTAGGGAAGTATATATAAATATGAAAAAAACACAGAAAAATAAGAAAATAATGACTTTAAATGTCAAGATAAAGACTACTTTGGGAGGAAGATGGTTGTGATGGAATGGGGCACATGGAGAGCTTTCTGGAGTGGTTAGGAAAGTTCTACTTCCTTACTTAGCAGTGATTACTAAGTGGGTTTTTGTTGTTGTTGCTTTGTAGTACTGAGGATTGAAATCAGGGCCTCACACATGCTAGGCAAGTACTATACCACTGATTTACACTCCTAGCCTTTTTATTTATTTTTGTTGTTGTAGATAGACAGAATACTTTTGACTTTATTATTATTTTTTAATGTGGAACTGCTGAGGATTGAATCCAGTGTCTCAGTGGCAAGAACTCAGTCACTGAGCTACAACCCCAGCCACATCCCTAGCCTTTTTAAAATTTGATATTTTTTTTTAGTACCAGGGATTGAATCCAGGGACACTCAACCACTAAGCCACATTCACAGCCCTTGTTTATATTTTATTTAGAGACAGGGTCTCGCTGAATTGCTTAGGGCCTTGCTAAGTTGCTGAGGCTGGCTTTGAACTCATGATCCTCCAGCCTCAGATTTCTAGGCTGCTAGGATTATAGGCATGTGCCACCATGTAAAATTTGATTTTGAGACAGAGTCTTGCTAAGTTGTAGAGGCTGGCCTCAAACTTGTGATCATCTTGCCTCAGACGCCCAAGTAGCTGGGATTATAGGTGTGTGCCACCACACCCAGCTTATAAGGTTTTTTAATCTAATAATAATTTATTAAGGGGCTAAGGTTGTGGCTCAGCGGTAGAGTGCTCGCCTAGCACATGCAAGGCCCTGGGTTCAATCCTCAGCACCACATAAAAATATATAAATAAAAGAAAGGTATTGTGTCCTACTACAACTAAGAAATAAATATTTAAAAAATAATTTATTAAGCTATACATTTGTTGTAAGTATTTTTATTTTGTCTCTAGGTTCTATTTTACAATGAGAAAGAGAAAAAAAAACAAGAAAGAGAGATGCATAACATCCAAAGATAACCAATGAACCTTGTTTAGAGTGAACTATAAAGACATTTGAACACAGATTTGGTATAGATGCTGTTAGGAAACTATCACCTTTAGCAAATCTAAATCTTTAGGAAACTGTTAGATTTGCTAAAGGTGATAGTTGTGGTATTATTATGGAAGAGAATATCTGTATTTTTGTAGATGCATAATGAAGTACTTAGGTATAAAATATCTGATGGTTTAGAATTGTGCAAAATACTCCCCAAAAAAGGTTGGAGGTGGGGAGATAGATGAAATCAGTATGACAAAAGTTTAATATATATTTTTTATGTTGTTGTTTCCTTAGGTTTTGGTTTTTGGTCTTTCTTTCTCTTTTTCAGTGCTAGGATTGAACAGTAGTTGCTGAAGATGAACATGAAATTTTGTTGCATTGTCTAGTTTTGTGTATATTTGGAAATTTTTATATTAAAAGTAATGGGGGTATGGATTCCCAAAACTGGACTACTTCAGGGCAGCAGAGACCTAATCACTGGTGTTCCTCATCCCCATGACCTCTTCAGAACTTTTTTCCCACCAATCATCTCCCTAAACTCATAACCCCTATGGTCTCTGAGTGCCCTTTGAAGGGGCTTTCCCCTCTTTGGGTCTTTGGGTCAATTGGACAAGATGGCAGTTATTCTCCCCTTTCTCCAGTCTGATGTCCTAATAATCTCAGGAAAGAGAGTCAAAGGGCAGATGGGCAGGGCCTGACCTGATGGAGCAGTCCTCAGTACTCTAGAGCCTGCCCCCACAGTGGGTAGGAGTGAGGTAGGACAAGGAGGGGAGAGGGCAGGCACCAACTCCTCATAGTCATTATATGCATTCACTATTGAGCGAGCTTCCAGAGACTGACGGCACCTTTCCTTGGAACACTGCTCTGGGATCTTTGTCTCCCTTAGGCTCCTGGGCATCATGCCTTGTTCTAAGCAGCCTAATCACTTCCAGAGTCTGAGTCTTCTGCACTGGCCCTTGAGCTACCTTGCCATCTGTAAGTACTGACCTAGGACCTAGCAAGAAGCCCAAGTCAGAAGCCAGGGCCAGATCTTGGGTGATTTCATGGGAAGTCTCATTTCCAGACTTTTGATCAGTTGAGATGGTACTAGAGAGTAGAGTCAAGGAATCTCAAGTTCATTGAATGCTCTGGAGAAGGAACAGATACAGCTCCAGAGCCTAGTGAGAGAAGGGAAGGAGGTGGCACAGGGTCATGATGGACATGAGTTATCCAAGTAATTTCAGTTACTTCTTAACCCTCCCTATCTAAAGAGGAGAAATGAGACCCAGGGAGTGCTCCCTTAACGATAATATGGGGTGGGACAGAGAAACCCTTAGTATTACAGAGTTAGAGAAGTATAGTCTGTGTTTGAACCACAGAGTTTTCTACTCTGGGAGAGGGGTGGTAGCATGAGGGAGGAGAATGGAAGGACTGGTAAATGAGCAAAAGGACAAGAATGGTGGGTAGGAAACAGTAGAGAGATGGAGATGTTAGGTGGAGCAGGTATAGAGAGATGGATAGTATAGATGTAAGGGAGAGTAGGTTGGTGGCTTAACAAGGGTTCATGGATGATGGGTAGGAAGGGAGATGAGAGACAAGAAGAAAAAAATGTTTTCCTAATGGGGGTGGAAGTAAAAAAAAAAATAAAACTGGTGGCAAGAAGAGACCAGGAGTATGGGATGGTGACTGAGCAGGGAGGTAGAGGGAAAGGGACAAGGAATAGGAAGAGAAGTAAGACTTGTATATGGTAAATGATAGAAGAAATTTTTGAAGCATGGGTGGCCATGGATGATGGATGGTCAGAGCCTGGACTATGCTGAGGGCCAGGCCCAGAATTATGGGTAGTACAAAGAGTTGGTAATGGGACTAGACATGGACAAGTTCTGAGAGCACTACAAATTTAGTCTGACATGATCCCTCGTCAGTTTGGATCTTGCAGCCATTGTTCATTTACCTGCTGTTTACATCCTTGTGGCCACTGCCAGCATTTTACTTTGTCTGGTTGTTCTTGGACTGGAAGACCCCAGAGCAAGGTAAGACTAGTGGACCTAGAAGAAATGCTCCATCTTAACCTGTACTCCTGCATTCTGAGTCCTGCACATCATACCACAGGCCCTTCCTCCAAGTTCTCAGAGCCACAAGAGTGACACCAGCCAGGACATTCCTAGGTCTCTTCCTTCCCACCTCTCTAGCAGAGCCATGACCCTTCCAAGCTGCCTGGGAAGCCTGGGTAAGTGAGAGTTATGGGGTGGCACATACTGATATCATCTCCTTCTGGCATTTTTGTCTCAGGTGGCAGGCGTTCGGCCTGGGTAAGGAACTGGTGTGTCTGGACTCACATCAGGGACTATTTCCCCATTACAGTAAGTGTCTCTTATTCAATGTCCTATACAGATTCCCAAATTCAAGTATTTGTTATTTATACCAAATAACTAGGGTTTTCCATAAGGAAGATAAGCATCTTTGAGGAGTTTCAGTCCATGTTAGATAACCTCAGGATCCTCTGCACTCTGCTAGGATATTTTGGACACCTTTGGCATAACCTGCCAGATGACAGATGGAAGGCAAATAGAGTTCAGTTCAGTTTAACAAACATGGATCTAAATCTTCTTCTGACCTGCTTATTTGGGATAAAGAGGAGTAGATAGGATGCAATTCTCTGCCATCAAGAAGCTCACTTCTAATGGGAAAGACAGATGCATATATAATCACAGTTTGCTACAAGGCATAGAAGTAGTTCAGATGGAGGATACTAAGAAAAGGTTTCCCAGAGATGGTGAAATGTATACAGGGTATTCAAGATTCAATAAAAGTCACCTAGGTCAATACTAAAAGGTTTTGTGGGGAGACAATATCAGGAAGAGGTTCCAGAAATGTACTGTTCTGCTCATCCTCTGGGCACTCTTTGCAGTAGATGACTGCTCTGATTTTTATTTTTATTTATTTTCTAATTCTAAAGAATTTATTTGAGGATTGGGGCTGTAGCTCAGTGGCAGAGCACTTGACTAGCATGCATGAGGCACTGGGTTCGATCCTCAGCACCACATAAAAATAAGTAAAGGCATTCTGTCCATCTACAACTATAAAAAATTTAAAAAAAAATATTTGAACAGATAGGGATTCATGAATTCTGCCCCAATTTTTAGAACAGAGCTTCCTGGCCTGCATCAGGTAACAGCACTCAAAGAAAATGACAGCGTGTATCAAGAACACTGACATAGATGGCTGAGAGTACTTAACGGCCACAGGCAAGAAGCTTGGGAGTTCTAGCTGGCCTAGATTCTGACCTGTTGCCCCAGGAAAGAGAAGCCCAACACCTGGGCCTCATGAAACCCATATATGCTCTATCTATTGGAAAGCTGTTTCAGAAAGCACCTAGATTCCTGAGTGTCTTCACCTTGGTTCTTCCATGTGAGCTCATTCCAATCCTTTGGCATTTCTCTCCATGACTACAGATCCTGAAGACTAAAGACCTGCCACCCCAGCACAACTACCTCATGGGGGTTCACCCTCATGGTCTCCTGACCTTCGGAGCCTTCTGTAACTTCTGCACAGAGGCCACAGGCTTCTCGAAGACCTTCCCGGGCATCACTCCTCATTTGGCCACACTGTCCTGGTTTTTCAAGATCCCCCTTGTCAGGGATTATCTCATGGCCAAAGGTGCTTCAGATGACACTCACTGGAGCTTTTGATCTATTTCCATGCTTAGAAATATCCCTTTTAAGCCCCCTTTCCCCATAATCACAGCACAGTAGTCCAAAGCATATTTTCTGGAACTTATCTTCCTGGGTTTGAATCTTCCTGGCTCTGTTACTTGCTGTGTGATCTTGCACAAATTAGATAACCTCTGCTGACCTCAGTATCCTCATCTGTAAAATGGTGCTAATAGTAATAATCTGACCTCAGACATGGTATGGTGACTATATTGTAAGTAAAGCATTCAATATAATGCCTGGCACAGAGTATGTGCTCAACAGACAATAGCTGCTGTTATCACGGAAATAACAGAATCCAAGTTGGGATTCTGCAAATCCTCTGGTTATCCCACTAAAAATCTTCCTGCTGCAGCTTCCACCCAGTGCCTCCTTCAAAATGGATATATTGCCTCAAAGTGAAATGTGCCCACAGCCCTCTTCTCTCCTAATCAGTTTGCTCCTGTCTCTGCTTGATTCTCTCCAGGTGTGTGCCCTGTGAGCCAGCCAGCCATCGACTACTTGCTGAGCCATGGCACTGGCAACCTCGTGGGCATTGTAGTGGGAGGAGTGGGAGAGGCCCTGCAAAGTGTGCCCAACACCACCACTCTCATCCTCCAGAAGCGCAAGGGGTTTGTGCGTACAGCCCTCCAGCATGGGTAGGTGTCCTCCTCAGAGGAGTGGGTCACCCTGTCTGAGAAGCATGACCCTGTAGGTTATTCCAAGATGAATCTCATACAATCTTTCCCTCAAGGAACTTACAAATAAGTAGGAAAATGGTTCTAGAATTTCCAAAAGGTTTATGTCATCCACTCTTTCTGAGCTAGCTGGACCAGTTCCCAGAAACCAAACCATAAGCCCAGGTTCAATGTCAGGGGCTAGGATTGCCTTAGTATACTGATGATACCCACATGATCTCTACAATGACTGATAGATATAATCTTCATCTGTCTATTAATGGGAAGTGCAGAAGGCATTAAAGTTGAGTGAGTTTGTGTGTAGGAGCTGATTTAAAATACTTGTGGCACAGGCTGGTGTGTAGCTCAGTAGTAGACAGCTTGCCTAGAATGCATAAGGCTCTGGGTTCTTTCCACAGCACTGCAAATTATAATAATTAATAAATCATATCCTGACTCCATGACATACAATGCACCCTGGGGTGGGTTACTTAACCATTCTGAGGCTTCATGTTTTCATCTTCATAATGTGGCTACTAATCATTGTCACTGTTCCATAGGTGATTGTGGGCTTTGAAAAAATTCATCCACATAAAGCACCTACCATGTGTCTGGCATACAATAAGTGATCAATACATGTAAGCCACTCTGACTTAAGAGATACACAAAAGGAATCTGATGCTGAAGGTATAGGGTGCCTTCATTAGTTTAGCATCCAGCTCCCCAGATAGAGGGATGATTATCCTATTGTACACTCAAGAGAAGAGGGAAGTGTATCTAAGGATCTTACCCAAGAACCTGCCATTAGACTGGAATAGGATGCAGGTGAGAGAGCTCTGAGCTTGAACAGGGAGTCCTGGATTCTAGTTGAAGTCCTGCCATACCCTGACTGCCTGAGTGAACTTTCCCTTTTGAAACTGGGCCCTGGATCCCCCACTGTGTCCTCCATTGTCTTTGCTGTGAGGAGCCAGTAAGGTAACATATGTCAAGGTGCTGAGAGATTGCTATTAGTAACTCACAAAGATGTGTACAACAAAGAGTGTGTGTGTGTTTTTTTTTTTTTTATTCTTCTCTCATTTAAGGAACTTAAGGAGCCTGATTCTCTACCTAGGGCACTGTTCAGGGTAGATTATCATATTCTCTGGAAGGGAAACAATTTTTCTCTGCTTTAATCCCACAATCTAATATCTTATGCATAGTCCCCTTGAGTGAGGAACATATCATATATGTGTATCTATGCAAAGGTACCCTCATCTTCTCTATGACTTCTAACCAAAAGAGTCAGGTGTCCCCCTCCTTGGCACCTCCTAGAAGATTTTCACAGTGTGGGTCTCTGGGGATCTCTACCAAATTCCTCTTCCCTCCCTGCATCCCCATATCTTGTCCTTGTAATACTAGCCCAAAGAAAACACTCTCACTGGCCTCAAAAATTTCAGGAAAAAAAGAAACTAAATAGGGGAGCCCTGTGTAGTGCAAACAGGATTGTTTTAAGTCACTGGGATTTTATCATAATAGATGGGAGCCCATCAAGTGCAGTGCATACACCTGTAATCCTAGCAACTCGAGAGGCTGAGGTAGTAGGACTCAAGTTTGAGGCCAGCCTTGGCAAATTAGCAAGGACCTTAGCAACTTAGTGAGACCCTGTCTCAAAAAAGAATAAAGGACTGGGGATGTAGCTTAGTGGTAAATTGCCCCTGGGTACTACAGTACCCCCCAAGAAATATGGGAGCCTGGCTATGAATAAATGTTCTTTCAGGGAGACTCCCACCCTGGTCTGTGTTTGGGAAGTAAATTGGGTTTTTCCTACAGGGCTCATCTGGTCCCAACCTTCACATTTGGAGAAACTGAGGTGTATGACCAGGTGGTATTCCATCAGGACAGCAGGATGTACAAATTCCAGAGCTTCTTCCGCCGTATCTTTGGTTTCTATTTTTGTGTCTTCTATGGACAAGGCTTCCGTCAAGGCTCCCTTGGGCTCCTACCATACAGCCGGCCTATTGTCACAGTGGGTGAGTTCTGCTCTCAGCTCCAAGGTCACTACACCTCTTTTGCAACCATCAGCCTCCCCCCAAGCCTCCACCTGCTTCCTCTGGTGGTAGTGGTGGAAAAATTGGGAGCTGACTTGGAGTGCCAGAGGGTGGGGCCCAGGGAAGGAGAGAGGGCTAAAGGAAGAGAAGATTCTAGCACATTCACCCTTCTCTTTTCCCATTTATCTTGGCAGTTGGTGAGCCTCTGCCACTTCCCCAAATTGAAAAGCCAAGCCAGGAGATAGTGGACAAATACCACACACTCTATATGGATGCACTGCACAAACTTTTTGACCAGCATAAGACCCAATATGGCTGCTCAGATGCACAGAAGCTGCTTTTCTTGTAACTGAAGAGACTATGTACCTGAGTGCATGTAGGAGCACCTGCCTTGGAGATGAGACTCACCTGCTGCTAACATAAGAAATGGAAGGAAGGCTGTGTGTGCTAGGGAAGGGCATTAGGAGTCCTAGCCACAGTGCTGCCTTCTCAGGAGTTGTCTCTGAGGAGCCTCACTTTATTCTCCTGGCTCTCCTCTCTGAGCCTGACACCCCAGGTTCTGAAGAACTCAAATGAAGGCTATGCAGCCCCTATTCCATTTTTTAAAATCTTAATACTATTTTAAAATTGAGATATAATTTGCATATCATATGTTTATTTGCTTAAAAGTGCAAAGTTCAGCAGTGTTTAATATATTCAGAGTTGTATAATTGCCACCATTATCTAATTTGGGAATTTTTTCAGCATTCTCAAAAAAACAAGTAAACATTAGTAGTCAATGCCCACTCCCCCCAGCCCCTGATGACCAGTCATCTATTTTCTGTCTCTATGAACTTGCCAATTCTGAGCATTTCATATAAATGGAACAATACAATATGTGTCTTTTGTGGTTGTTTTTCAAGACTCCTCCACGTCACTGCATAAATTTTATGGCTGAATAATATTTCAGTGTTCATATATACCACATTTTATCCTCCCATTCAGAAGTTGATGGAAATCTGGGCTGTTTCACCTTTTTAGCCATTATATATAGTGCTAGTATAAACATTCATGTACAAGTTTTTGTGTGAGAATCTACTGTCCTCAAATATGAAGTCTTCCTGGGAGTGGAGGCACACACTTGTAATCCCAGCAGCTCAGGAGGCTGTGGCAGGAGGATCACAAGTTCAAAGCTAGATTAATCAATTTAGTGAGGCCCTAAGCAACTTAGTGATACTCTGTCTCAAAATGGAAAATAAAAAAAGGGCTGGGGATGTGGCTCAATGGTTAAGCAACCCTGGGTTCAATCCCCAGTACCAAAAAAAAATACCAAGTCTTACTTTATGCCTGCATCACTACCAAGCATACCTTTTGGATAGATAAAAGGTACCTTACTCAGGATCATTTTTCAATTGGCATAGGCATTGTGCATAGGTCACCTTGTCCTCATAATGATCCCTTGACTTCATAATCTCAAGGTACTTGCAACCATCCACTTGATATGTACGTTTTTAGTCCTTACTAAATTCTGTCAAAAAGTTTCTAAAGGCTACATTCTACAATATAAAAAGAGTAAATAAAAACATAGATGTCTCTTCCTTCACAAGGCAACCATATGAGGCACATTTCAAATGCAAATAACAAAATGCTCAAAGACCATTTATACTATTAGCCTTTTTTTTCTTCACTTAACTCTCTAATATTGGGCCTTGGTGGGATCTCACCCTCTTCTCTCACTTTATATTGCCTTAGGTCTGAAATATGTATTTTTTAAATATTTATTTTTTAGGTGTAGATGGACACAACACAATGCCTTTATTTTTATGTGGTGTTGAGGATCAAACCTGGGTCCCGCCTGTGCTAGGCGAGGCTCTACTGCTGAGCCACAATCCCAGCCCCCTGAAATATGTATTTCTAATCCAGGTTTACCTTGTAAGCAATAGCCCAATATATCCAATTTAGTAATTTGATCAAAATTGCTGGGGATCAAACACCTGACCCTCAGTGTACCCAATACCAGGTAAATCATCTCTCCTCCCAACCTTATATCTTATCCTCAAGTCCTGTCAATTTTACCACCTTAATATTAATCAAACCAGTTGGGTGTGGTGATACACGCCTGTAATCCCATTGGCTCGAGAGGCTGAGAGAGGAGGATCGTGAGTTCAAAGCCAGCCTCAGCAAAAGCGAGGTGCTAAGCTAACCCAGTGAGACCCTATCTCTAAGTAAAATACAAAATAGGGCTGGGGATGTGGCTCAGTGGTTGAGTGCCTCTGAGTTCAATCCCTGGTACCCACCCCCAAAATATTAATCAAACCAGTGCCCTTTCTCCTTTTCTCCTTCACCACCTAGTCAAGGCCCTCACTAAAATTCCTTGACATTTTTTTATTCTATTCTAGTAAATTTCACTCTAATCTCACCATCCAGCAGACTACTTCCAGGGTAATCTTGCTAAAACTTAAATCCAACAAGTCACTTTGCTGCTTAAAATACATTATTGTTCCTAAAATGCTTCTACCAGAATATCCTAAATTGTGCTGTATGTACCAATAACATTCCTTAGTCATTAATGATTAATGCACACACAAAAAAAATGGTAAGATTAAGTTTGGTGGTTGATGTTAAATAAAGTTAGATATATTTATTAATGTATTTAATAGTCTTTTAAAATTTGTTTAGCTGTAGATGGACACAATCCCTTTATTTATTTATTTATTTTTGTGCAGTGCTGAGAATCAAACCCAGTGCCTCACACGTGCTAGGCAAGTGTTCTACCACTGAGCTACAACCTCAAGCTATATTTCATAGTCTTTATTATACTAATGGACATTGTGATTTTCCAAAAGGGATAATGTACTATTTCCCAGTGTATCTAAAAATGGAACCCTTGTTTCAAATAAAATCTCATGGAACATTTAGAGTTCCTATAGATATAGTCTCAAAAACACTGCTCTATAGGATAAAGTTCAAACTCTTCAGTATGACAGAGAAAGATGCTGTTACTACAGTAAAGGTAGCTGATTTGGTTTGGGAGCCTATCAGATTGGGAGATGCCTTTTTAGGAGTTGTTGAATTCATAGACCAAATCAAAACTTCATAGGAAATGCTCAGAAGGTAACTGATTAAAATGGAAATTGGATTTGAATCATTGCCACCTGTTTTGGTTGTTTCTTCCAGAAAGAGTAAATGAGAGAAGCATTTTCCAGAAAAGTCCCAAGAGCACACATAGGAACAAGGCTATCTGGTTTCATGGTCATGGCTTCCTAGAAAAGTAAAAGAACAGATGGATGGCAGTTAAAGCCTTTGCTTTCTTAATAGCATCAGCCAGTTTCTGCTCCTCAAAAATTCAGTCCCCATATCTTTTCTCCTCATCCACATCCTCTCCCCCACAATGCAATCTGTCTCCCTCTGCCTCTCTCCACATCTCTGTAAATGTTTTTGAGATACCCTAATACTTCAAATATTTGCTCCATACTCTAAATATCACAGTGAATTCCTATGTGAACACCAGCAAAGGATTAATCATGTAATGAATGTAACTTGAAAGGAACATTTCCAATGATTGGCCAGGATAGTGCCCCCTAGTGGACCAGATGGCCACTAGGTAATGGTGGAGGCAGAAAGTGAGCAGACAACTTAAGTGATGTCCAGAGGGCTCCCATAGAGGGGAGAGCTGTACTTGCCATGGTTTTAGAACCAGGCAATCAATCAGAGAGTTCAATACCTCCCAACACATAGGGGTCATAATGTTGATTGGGCCATCATGAAGGCCATTGACAGTCCCTTATAATCTGGTCACTATTAATCTTTTCAGACTTACCTCTGACATCATGATCTGAAGTAGTACTTTGGACAATATCACGTTTTCTAAACATGTTCACATCTCATTGTTTCTGCTCATGTTCTCTCTATGTGGTAAAGTGTACTAATATTATAAATCCACATTGACTATCACCTTCTTAGTGAAGCCTTCAACAGGCAAAATGAATTATCCTTTCTTTATTCTTCTATAATGTTGTGTTGTATCTACTATGGGATACATTATATTATATTATAGCATAATTATTTGCTCCTAGGCCAGTCTATCCTTCTAGTCTGAGAGCTTTTTGAGAACAAAAACTATGCCCTAATTATTGAAGCATTTCCAATGACTAGAGTAGGGCCTGGTATGTGAGCCACTATATCTATTTCCATGTATTATCAGGAAGGAATAGAAGGAGCTTCATAAGAGATTTCATAGAAGAAAAGCATAAATGAGATAAAGTCAGGACATTTGGGTCAAAAATGTGCTAGATAACAAAAGTCTAATAAGCTAAATCAGATGGGAAAAAAGCTACATAAAAGAAAACCGGTAGAAGATTGGAGAAATCTAAACTTATCATAAATATTTGAAAACTGAAGATATAATATAGCCTCAGCAATCTGCAAGCAAGCTTCTATAATTGAAGCTCTTTGAACACGGGAACTATAAGTGTGTAGCTCATCTCTGTATTCCCACCCTTTAGCACAGTACCTGACTCATTGTGGATGCTTAAGAATTAATTGTTGAATGAATGAATCCCAAATACCCATGATATTGGCAATTTCTAATTTTTTCTAAAGAAAGTAACTTAGCTAGTGATGACCTAAACCATAAAAATATTTAAACTTTGTTTAGTCACTCTCTATGCATGGTTTAACCCAGTAAGGGCAGGAAGGAATTAGATCCTTACCATATGGAAATCATAGAGTCTCAGGATGTATATCTTGGGATGTATTTCTCACACAATAAGGATCTGCTATGTAACATAAATGGAGACCTTAACACTCTGCTTTTGGAATATAGCAAATATAGTGGACAAAAGCCTGACTTTAAAAAGGTGTGGGCTGGAAGCCCAGGCACATGCCTGTAATCCCAGCAGCTTGGGAGGCTAACCAAGGAGGACCACAAGTTTAAAGCTTCAGCAACTTACCAAGACCCTTTCTCAAAAATAAACAACAACAAAATGGTCTGGGGATGTAGCTCAGTGGTTAAGTGCCCATTGGTTCAATCCCTCATACCAATATATATATATATATATATATATATATATATATATATATATATATATATATATATATATACATACACACACATAGAAAAGTTATGTACAATCAGAAGAATGGGATCCTAATTAGAATAAGTTATGCTACATGTATATATGTCAAAATACACTCTACCGTCATGTAGATCTAAAAGGAACAAATTAAAAACAAGAAAGCTGAATTTGAAAAGAGTTTTAAAAAATAAAAAAAGTGTGAGAGTGGTGTAAGGTGGCAAGTGCTGACAGTCACAGCTACTCTGGAAGCTGAGAAGGGATCACTTGAGCCCAGGAATTGGAGACCAACCTA